TACTATAAAATTTTTGCATATGCAATCTCCATTGTTTATTTAAATGAACCAAATTCGTACAAAGCAAACTTTTCATCATTACGTCCTAATTTTGCACGGAGTCGACAAGCAAATCTTTATTTGTATTGCTAAATCTTTGTAATCGTACGAAGATGTCAGCAATTATTTCACGAACAACAATTTTAACATGCCTACTTCGATAAGAGTTGAAGATTATGGAACTTGTTCTTTTAAAACGATTTTTTTATATCAAACAATTGCTAAATTGTACCAAGTTCCTTCAAATATAACAAAAAGTAGCATATTTGCACTTTTTTCTGAATTCCAACAAAGGCTTGTTTAATTAAATGAGTATATTAATATTAGTGGAGAGTAGCAATTTACTTCAAAAGGAAACCTTTGAAAGACTCAACAGAGGAATCGTTACCAAAAGATTAGTGACATATCTTTCTAAGGTGTAGTTGAGTATAACAAGACTGTAATATCTGTGATCACAAACTGTATTTTCATTATTCAGACCTTCCAGTGTGCTTTAGTCAAACGAATAGCATATCTCCATAATAAAGACATAATTCCAGGCAAATAAAATTAAAAGACAGTTATCTGAAAATTAAACTTTCGTTTGGAGATTATCTTGGTTCCTGCTTATTTCCTGGATTTGCCAGACAAATCTTTTGTCCTGTCGATTAATTCAAGTTTAACATATCCGCTTCTCTAAGCTTTCTTCAAAGGGACTGTGTGTATTTTCGTAATAACCCAAAGTTTAACAATCGACGCTTCGTAGCTCAAAATTCAATACTGTTCAACATCATATATTTACACCAATTTATTCCCACAAGCATCTGTTATGCAAGTAGAATCGTAAAATTAAATCATTTGATCTATTTAGTAATCCACATTCAGTTTTTTTCTCTTCATTTTGATCTTTAAAATTAAATAAAACAAGAAAGATTTTCTATAAGTAAAATGTATATATAAATTTCAAATGACATTAAATTAACTTCCAAACACTTATGCCTATAAATGTCAAAGGGACAAGGCCTTTAAATGTTGCTTTAGAATAGTTAGAGGCTTCTTGTATACAACGCCTTGCTTCCGAAATACAACGTTGAAAACAGTTCTAGTAAAGTCTATGTTTATATTCAGATTTTCACTAAATAAATGATACTTTTGACATCGAAACACTAAAAATTATTTTGTATCTGTGTCAAGCATGTCTCGAGATTTGTATTACCAAATATTGTATAAAAAATGTTTGAAAATAGTTGTAAAGTATAGTGTTGCTTTATAAAGGCACGTAGCTCATTTCTAGTCTGTGAAAATTAAGTTACAATTTCATTCTATTCAAATGTATCGTGTAAACCATTATTATTTCACATGTGTAAATGTTTCTAAAGTAATTTGTCTAATCATTAAAATACTCTTAAATGACAACTTTTAAACAAACAAACAAATCAAATAAACTAAAACAAATATTTTAATAAGTCAAGCTTAAAGTCTTTAAATAGCTTAAGTATTATTACTGTATTTTAAAAGTCAAATATACTTTTCATTATGTTTTTAATGGCAAAAGAGCCGATTCCTTGGTATCTTTATACATGATTCAAGACCAAGTCATTTTGTTTACTGAAGCTCCTTTATATTTTATTTTAAATAACATTTTTAAATTGAGATACCATCTTAAGGGAAAATTTAAATATAGGCCATTTTTTTTTTTTTTTTAAAAGTATGATATACATAATTCATGTAACAGTAAGCTAAGATCTAAACGCTGTTAAGGCCATTCAAATAGAACATTCTATTACATTAACAATTGCACTAACTTCCACGCATTCTTTTGCAGATTTATTTTAATTAATATTTTTTAATTTAGATTCCTTCTTAAAGGAAAATTTAAATTTAGTCCTTTTTTTTTTTTTTTTTAAAAGTATGATATACATAATTCATGTAACAGTAAGCTAAGATCTAAACGCTGTTAAGGCCATTCAAATAGAACATTCTATTACATTAACAATTGCACTAACTGCCACGCATTCTTTTGCTGTCTTGTTAGAATGATGCCAAATTTCGTGTGACAGTGTCTAATATGTAATGTTTAAGTACTCAACTATTCGTAAGAACACTGAAGCATCTTTCAGAGCAGTATCGGAAAAATTTTTTTACAAATATTTAACCACTCAAGTATTTATATGAAAATATCTCACAAATAAGAACTAGACTTTGAAAAGCATGTTTAAGCGTGAGAAAGAAAAGTAGAAAAAAAACTGAAGAATTTGATGCAAACAACACACGTTAAATTTGTAGGTTAGAAATAGTTTTATCAAATATTAGGCGTCATTATTTTATAATGGAATATTATCAGCAAAATATTTAATTTCATGCAGCAGATATTTCCGTTACCGAATTACCCGAGACACAAATTATCAGTAGTAGTTTACCAACAGTTAGCAATAAATGGGCTGTTTTAGTGGTACAAATTCAGTGGTATTCTCTACTTATCGTCAATCCCATCATCGGCATCACCGGCCTTGTTGGAAATATTCTGAGCGCTGTCGTCCTAGTGAAATCAGGATTAGACAAGTCATCCAACATATTGCTGCTCGCCCTTGCCGTCGCCGACTCGTTCTGCCTCATGGGATCCATCAACATTCCATCTTTAATCACTCTAATCCCAATCCATCGACCCAAAATCGAATATTTCGTGTGGGAGTTTTCAAGAGAGATATCTTTCATGCTGTACGTCTTGTCGATAACGTTCCAATCCTGCTATTTCTTCGGTTTACTAGTAAGTTCCACTGTTTGTACGTTGATCACCGCAGAACGTATTTTAGCCGTGTTCTACCCGCTACACTTCAAAACTATAGTGACACCGACAAGAACATGGATATTTGTTTTTTTTTGCCCCTGTTTTCTGGAGTCCTTGCGTTATCTACTTTTCAGCTTTGAACGAATTTATTTACATGTACATAGCCCAACTTGGAATGACGGTCGGGTACGCATTTCTAAACAGTGATTACATAGCTGCAATGGTGGACATCTGTTACAATTTGCTTTTTGGAAAAATAATCCCAATGGCTGTGGTCACATCAGGCTCCATCCTCATAGCAGTTCGTGTCTACATCCAGAACATGAAGCGACGAGATATGGTTTCCATGGCGTCAGAATCCTCCAGACAATCCTCGCGCACTACCAGAACACTACTTGGTGTATGTGTCTGCTTTTCAATAACCAAAATCATTAGCCTGGTTGGCATTTCATATATTCTTGACCAAACGGATAAGAGCATTGATAAATATATGATTAGACTTATCCTCGGCATGGCTATCATAACAGCTGATTACATCAACAGCTCATACAACTTTGTCATCTATGTCTTACTAAATCACAAATTTAGAGCTCTTCTGTTTGATTTACTAACTTCTTGTCGTAGAAAATAGTTTTACATTACTGCACTTATAAGAAAACATTCCGTATGAAGATTTGACTAATTTGAAGTGTAAATTTATTTTTGTAACCAATTTTTTTCATCTCCTATGTTCTTGCTTTACTATTTTTAAACTTGAGAACTGACAGCAATAAATTTATACCAATTATATGACATAACTTCGTCCGATTTTAGATTATGCATCTTCAGTCTGGGACCCATTTACCCAGAAGAGCATTGACAGGTTGGAGGCGGTCCAGCAACGAGCAGCACGCTTTGTCCTAAACCGCTACAGGAATACCTCAAGTGTTGGCAGCATGCTAGAAATACTAGGCTGGTCACCATTGGAGAAACGACGACGACAATCCAGGCTCTCCATGATGTACAAGATAAATAATGGGCTGGTCCACTGTTCCAGTATTAAACAGAAACTCGTACCTCTCCCCCATAGACAGCGACGAGGCCAT